GATAATATTAACAAAAATATCGTTTAAGAGGACATCCGGGCAACGCTTTGTTAATTTTTATATATAATTCTTCTGTCATTGTGTATGTGACTGAACTCCTAAATGGCTGTACCGATTTTGATGAAATTTTATAGTGTGATTAAGTTGATTCGAGAATAATTTATATTCACAATTGGACCCGGTAGGTGGCGCTGTTGTCGAGATACAGAAATCACCCGAGCGCAGCCGGGGCGGATCGCTAGTACAAATATTGCCAATTACTCTGTTTTCTCCCTGGATATACTAGAGCAAATATTTTTTAACAATAGCATCAATATCTACCACTGCCAATTGCTGTTTTTTTTTTTCATAAATTATATTTTAAACACTAAGAATGTTCTGAAACTGTCTAGTTATACCGCCGTCATCAGACAAAATAATCAGTCCACACTGCGGTTGTCTCTCGAACTGCGTGACAGCAATAGATCTGAAACATGTTTCAAATGTATTGCCGCCCGGAGTTCCTCTTAACTACTTTTTATCTGATTATACAATCATGAGATATCTTGATCTACCTCCTATCTGCTAGAACTTCTCTCCTCTCTTTAGGAGATCTCTTTTAATCTTTTTGAATGTTTTTGTTTGTAACTAACAATAATAAATTCTGTGACTTGAATCATCATGGTTTTAAACGTATAGTATAGATTTTATCTTTATTGTATACATAATACACACACATATTTATATATATATTTATACATTTTGTAATAAAATTAAGTAGGGTAATTATGTATAGTAATAAAATTTGTTAATAAATTATACAACATTGTATACAGTTCCTTTTATATTGTAAATATACCAATAAGGCTTTATCTTGTGTTATTCTTAAATACACATTTTACAGTACATAATAAAGAAACACAAAGCACAATAAATAATAATTATTATTATTATTGATCCCAAAAACACTACTTAAAGCAAAGCCTTATAAAATCTAAGCTCTCCCAATTTAATACATTCTAAATAGAATAACAAAATCATAAAAAACACATCTTTAACGAAGATTCATTAACGAAAAAAAAGTGAGTAGACAAAATAATTACCTAGTTAAGTAAAAATCCGACAAATTGCTCAACATTATGGCTATATGTACTAAAACATTAGTTGTGTGGTACTTGAGCAAGGCAGGAGCGACATGTTATAAATATTTCACATACTTATTGATATTCAAATATTATTGCAAACTTACAAGAACTTATTCGAGATTCTACATAAAAAATAATTGTTTCAACTACATAGTGAGTAGTGTCTCAAATAATATTATAATTCCTTAAAAAAAAGTCAAAAGATATAATAAGTAAAATGTTTTATAATTAATAAGTAAATGATTTATTAATCCTAACCAATATTACAAGTTTAAACTAAGTGTAAAACTAATAGATAGATGTGTGTGTGCGCGCGCGTGTGCGTGTGAGAAAGAAGTGTGTGTGTTATTTTTATCGTCTTTGAGCATAAGACTGGTAAAATTTGTCTGATAGTATAATTCGATCTTTTTTCTTAATTTTTGAAATAAATTTAAGTTACAGCAAAGATGTTTTATAGGTCCAGATACCGTGTTGCTAACACACCGCAACGTTCATAGTGAAGACAGTCTTTGATTCATGTGTGCGTGAGTACCACGTGACGCGCATATCTTACGCACCATGGCTGCATTAATGTGCGTGACGTCGGTAATAACAGTGCGAATCGATTACCCAAAAATGTGGGAGATTTTATATTTCATTCATATTGACGTATCTATTGATTCTAAGAGTATAAAATGTGTGTGCTTGGCGTGTGCATTTGTGTGTGTGTGTGTGTATGGGGATATGGTTGCTTAAGTGTGTTTTATGTAGGTACGAACATCGCACTAAAATATTGAAGATATGTAATAAAACCTATAATTAATGTAACAGTTAAAATAAATAAAAAAGCACAGTAGATATTTATGTATGTAACATATATTTATAATCTATTATTACTAAATATATACAGAGTACTACACTGTTGTACTGTAGAACACAAAATATTGCCGCTTTTTACGAAGAAATTAAATTATTTTTCAATCCTAAGTAAAATGACGAAAAAAAGTAAGTTTGGTTAAGCGTAAACTTCAGCCAAGAGATAGCAAAATGTTTAATTTTTTTAAATTGCTCCGTTCCGTTGCTGCTTGAAGGAAGGACAAAAACAAATAAACAGAAAAATCACTCTTTCACATTTATAATATTATATTTGTATGAATTGTCAAGAATGATAGATAAACTTATAAAACCGGTTTACAATCGGCTTATTGAGGGTGACGAAGGATAACGGTTCTGAGTGACCAAAAAGGATAGAAGCACAGGAAAGTGCAGTTTCATTCTGCCAGATGTAGTTCAACCCTAACCCTTAAAACAGTTTAACTCTATATGTTGGGTAAAATCTGTAAAATTAGACTGTTTAAAACCCCTATACAGACAACCTTTGTGGTTGATCATGACATTAAAATATGGTAAAAACATTTCATAGACTAGGCAACACTCGAATATTATTGCGCAGTATTATTACTTGTATTGACATTTAGCTTTCGTATTCTTTTACAAAGAAATACACCATAAAATTGTATAGTTACTTATGAAAAGTGATGTTCTTATCCTTATCTTTTTTCCAAGAGTAATTTTTAAATGATTTCACAGCACAAACAGTCATTTTGCGAAATTAAAAACACCGGTGCGTGACGTATGTTCACAGCAAACGTCGCTGGCGTAATGGCGGAACCATCGAACGAATACGCCAATATTGGCGCCTTTGAAATGGAAGCGTTTTAGGCGCGCATACACGGTATCTGGACCTATAAAACATCTTTGAGCTACAGTTATGGTTCTTGTGTTTTGAAAACAGATCTTATTTTAAAATATATAGATAGGGTGACAAACGAGCACACAGTCCACCTGATGGTAAGTGGTTGCTGTGGCCCATAGACATCTACATTTATGCTCGTTTGCGAATCAAAATGCAGACGCATTGTCACCCGTTAGGACTAAGATGGAATGCCGCTTTTCCAGTAAAAAGGGTCTCCGGTTCTCTACACCCACCATACGAAACACAACAGTGTTAAGCTGCTATTTGACACTGGTATTCTGTGAGAGCGTGGTCCTTCCCCGGTCGAGCCGAGCCATTCGTGCTATAACTATTAGAAGTATCTAATATAGCTGCTGCATGACTCTACCACGTATATAGCTGTCGGACTGTAAGCACATTTACTTCCCAGAACAACTTGCTTGTGGGAAACTTAAAAGGCTTAGAATGCATAACTTATCATGAACTTTTTGAGATCTTTCAATGCTCAAGTTTTGTAAGTGCCTCCCTAAGCAGTAATACAGTATGACAACGAGCGAATGGCAGAGAGCACTATATATGGTTTTAGTAGTTCAATTGGAATATGTCTTAAACGTTTAAAAACTGGTATAAATTTTCTAATGTTACTTTTTAATTTGTTAATAGAAAGAGTATAAGTTATATCATTTACTAGGACTATAGAAATGAAGAAGTGTTCTGGAAACTCTAAATTAATATAAAGACAATAAAAAGAAAAAATATGCCTATTTAAAACTAGCCAATCGGTATGAGTATTCAGAAGAGATGGTGAAGAAGAAAATATAAAATGTTTTTAACATTCTAAAGATAACACCAGACAATAACCAAAAAGATAAGTGGATCTGCTGCAGATAATCCAAGAAATGGTTTGCCTACGAGAGCCTCCTTTTTCTTTTGAATGTCCATACACCTAGAACTAGATTTTCCAGCATTTTGCAAGTAAGTTTTATTTGTTGTTCTGAACATACCTAGTGTAGTGATAATAATGAGTATGGTGAAGTTCCATCTAATGTTAAGCGGTAATCCCTAGCTACTAAAAAATTCCCCATACTTGAGCAAATAGTGGCAAAGGGCAAGAAAAACCCCCAGATTTCATGTGAAAAACTACATATAATTGGGTTTTTTTTTTAAGAAAAGCACACTTCATAACTTTCTGCCATTCTATTCTCCCCCCAGGAATCATTAAATAGTTTTTGAATTATTTTCTAACATCCCAGGCAGCTTTAGGTCTGGGAAGATCAACCATTCCCGAAGGTTAACTTTTCTAAACATTGCCCGTTAACACCACCGTTTTTTTTTCTTCCTTTCTTCCCAACTAATTTCATTCAAAATTAAGAAAGACGCACCAACAACAACTTGTTTGGTGGACATGATGTAGACAACTGTAAAACATATGTAAAATGAAACTGTTGAATCTGTTGCTGCAAGAGATGTTGATCAATTTGTTGTTTTGTAAGTTGATCATACAAAATTGTTCCGTTCCTTCAACTAATTGTTGAACTAGCATAAATGCACCTTAACAGTTGAAGAAAATGTTTGGTATGTTGCCCCTTACAACCCCAATTGTCACAATAAATAAAAGTTAGTTAAAGTTACAGCCTATATACGTCCCACTACTGGTCACAGGCCTCCCCTCATTTCTGAGAGGGTTTTAGGGCAAGGAAATGTCCGCCGCGCTGCCCCAATGCGTGTTGGCGAACTTCACATATCTTCGAAAATTTTTTCTTATTTCTCAGATATGCAGGTTTCCTCACGATGTTTTCCTTCACCGTCGAGCACGTGGTAAATCAGCACTTAAAATTGCAATTAACAATTTCATTGGTGCCGGCGGGGATCGAACCCGGGTTGCTCGCGTACTTTAAAATTTACAGCGAGCGCTAACCATCTGCGCTACCACGGCTCTATACAATAAATAATAATAACAATATTTTATAATTTGTGATCATAATATTATAATAAATACATCATACATAGATCTTTTAACTCTGCTTCATAGAGGTCAGTAGAGCTAACCACCTTCTTTGCTTCCAAATTGAAGGAATATGTACGATATGAATGTAAAACAATTGAACAGCGCCAATTGTCAGTGCTTTGACAGATGGACGGATAAGTAAACTTTGAAACGAATGTTGGTGAAATTTGAATTCATTGTTTCGCAACTGTTACATTTAATTGGTAAGTAATTATTTACAAATATGAATTATTTATACTCTCTTTTTTTTTGTTGAAATATTAAAATTACGTATAATAAATATAAATATAATAGGCAAACGTAATAGGTTTTTGATAATAACGCGTAATAAGTGGTTAGCAATGGTAAAAACCACCGTACTATAAAGTTAAGAAAGTTTTCAAAAGTAGATATAAATTGTATTGGTTATATTTTTACAGAAAATGGAAAGAAGAGGCTTATTGAATGGGAAATTGAGAATGCCTTATCGGAATATATTGCTATACCTTCCGATGATAACATTTATGCGGGTGGCGATGGTTCGGATATCGAAGATGAGGTCATCACTGAAGGACAGAGTACGACAATGGTAGAAATTTTTCTCGGAGAAGACTTCCAAGGTACAGATCTGCGTAATTCGGAATTTGACAGCGGAGATGACACACTGCTAGCCAGATTATCTTTTTCTCAGCCTTTAGTTCCACCATCATCACCAGAAATTCAAACCAGGATCATCTACTGCTCAGGTTGATACAGGCTCCAAAATGGTAAAAATCCTACTCAATTCTACCTGCTGATGATTATGTCTCCATGCATCACATACCTACTAACTTGTCATCTTTAGCTGCTCACAGAGAACATCTCCATTAAAAAAAATTCAATTATTCTGGACAAAAGAGCTTGTTCAATATATTACATTTCATAACAACTTATATGCAGAACAAAAAGGAGGACCTTATAAGCCTGTCACAGAAGAAGAAATGGAAGTTTTTATTGCTCTCAATTTAGTGATTTAGTGACGGAGATTACTGGTCTTCTTCATCCAACTTACGAGGAGTACATATTGTCATTCATGCTTCTGACGAGATTTTCCTGGATTCTAAGGAACTTACATTTGAATGATAACAACTTGATTCCTAGTAGGAAACATCCTAACTAGACAAATTGAACAAAATCAGGCCGTTTATTGATAAAATTAGAGACTCATTCATAAAAAAACTATTAGCCTACGAAGAATATTGAAATAGATAAATCAATGGTGAAATTCAAAGGAAGGAGTTAGCTCAGGCAGTATATGTCCAAAAAACCAACGAAATGAGAATACAAGGTTTGGACAAAGTGTGCATCTACTGGCTATTGTCTTGACTTTGAAATATACACTGGAAAAGTTGGGAATAAAGTGGAGAAAGATTTAGGAGGCCAAGTTGTTAGGAAGTTTTGTGTAGGCCTAGAAGGAAAAGACCATTGTGTATATTTCAACAACTATTTCAATAGTTCTTCATTACAAATAGAGTTACGGAACTAAAAGCAGACAGTAAACTGTAACATAGTGAATATGATTATCATATCAGTAATAATGAATTGGTAGGTCTTATATGGAATGGAAGGATAAACAGTGTATTCATTTGTTGACAAATTTCCATGATCCTAAGATTGATATTAAAATTACTAGACGCGAAAGAAATGGTGACGCTGTGGAAATCAAATGTCCGGCAGCTGTCAAAGATTATAATGATAATATGAATTTTGTTGATAAGTTTGATCAAATGAAGGGGAGCTATGCATTGATAGAAAATCTTAAAAATGGTAGCACCGCTTATTCTTTCATTTTCTAGACTGCTCAGTTGTAAATGCTTTTCATCTGTACAAGGATCTTCAAGAAGAACCAAACACATTCTTTGATAAAGTTTGTCTAAAAGATTTTAGACATAGAGTGTAACCAAGACATGTTATTGCCTGCTTTATGTTAAGAATAAAATACGAATCAAATGCAGAAGCAATCCTTCATCGCCCAGCTTTAGCTTCTATAAAAAGGCACAAACCCTAAGTGCCCCAAACAGTTCAACTAGCTGTCGCTAATCATCAGCCAATTAAAGGCACTTCCAGGCATTGCAGCAGATGCAGTTGCAAAAAAGAGCCAGTACGTACTATTTGGGGTTGTAAAGTATGTTGTATGTTATGTTACAGCGAGGGAAAGTCTTGCTTTGAAAATCATCATAAACAGTAACTTTATGTTTTATTGAGAAGTGCTAACAACTTTGGTATTTTTTATGTATGTATAATATATGAAGCATTTATTGTTCCTAAATGTGCCAAAAATGTGTAAATTGTTTAATAACAGAATATAAAGAAAATATTTAGCCATTTTCCTCACAGTAGTCACCCACGATATCCATCCTGTATATAACCCCACCACCAACCTAAATATGAAAAACCGACAAAACTACTTATAACTATCCTTACCTTATTAGATATAAACAAAAATATTTGATTTTCTTTGAAAATTAAAATCTGTGCTGCATAGGGTTAACATGCAATAGATTTTTCATCAATAAACACAATGATTTAAAAATTTACATGTATAATACATGCATATTATATATTATATAATCCTTCTGTTTATGTGTTTGTGACTCAATTCCTAAACGGCTGGAACGATTTTGATGAAACTTTGTGTGTGTGATTAAGTTGATTAGAGAATGGTTTAGATTCCCAATTGGACCCGGTAAGTGGTTTGTCCATAGATCCAGAAATCAACCGTACATAGCCTGGGTAGATCACTAGTTGAATATAATTATAAATTCAGTTCTTAGCAGTTTCTAAGTTAGAAAAACAATTTTTTTTATAATATAAATGACCACCCTGTGACATACATAAAAATTTGCACGGAACCCTTGAAGAAAAAGAATTATCTTTTTCTTAAATAAAAGTGGCCCAAGTTACTCCTTATAACATCAACCATCTGCCAGTAAAAGTCCCGTCAAAATCAGTCCAGGCGTTTCGGAGATTAGCTGGAACAACTGGCAGACAAAAATTTTACTGTTTTTTTTATTATAAGTACCATATATACTTTCATATGCATTTAGTAAAAAGCTGTTATTTTGACATTACAAACAGACACTTCAATTTTATTTATTTGTATAGAATCTTTAAACAAACGAACATAAAATAATATATAATAATATCAATATAATACTACCTCAATATTTCGGAATTTCGATTTTAACTGTTTTTCATAATCTGTATTTATAATTCTCGGGCATTGGTATAGAGCTAAAAATTTTAAGTTCTTATAGTACTCTGATATGGTATCGACAATAACTGGTGAAACATTTATTATCCGTGAAAGACTCAGGCTTTGCAGCACTTTCATATTAGGACTGCTGAGTGTTTGGAGCAATACTAATTCAGAAAAATTTAAGTTATTCCAAATCTGTAAATGTTTTATTTCATTCAAATTCACCAATGATATAAATCCTTTATCTGTAAGATTTTCACATCTTATGATAGCCAAATCCTTCAATAATGAACACTGCGATAATAATTGTAAACAATGATCATCAATAGAATCACCACCGTAAATATGTAAAGTAATTATACTTGTTTGCTTAGACAAAATTAATTCCTTCATATAATCTAAACTAAGATTTTTAATTTTTTCTATAAGAATATGATTTAGGTATTGACAATTCAATAAAGAATTACAGTTTGCTAAAGAGAGACCAAAATCAGATAAAGCCAAGAAGTTAAGATCTTTAAACTGATCATAATAAATAACTAAATCTTCATTACTTAATACTAGAGAATTCTTTAAATTTATTTTCTTTAGATTTGGCCACTTCTTTATGTCATCTTCAAATTCCTTACAAAGTCTACACATAACTAACTCAATAGAGACAAGATTACAACATTTTTCCATGATAGATTTAATATCTTGATAGTTATACAGATACTGCAGTTTCAAACAAAAAATAATTTGACTATGGCTGCAAATTATCTCCAAATTTTTTTCACTTACTTCACTCTGGCCTGGTTTTCCTGAGTAAATAATAACAAAATGACGCCATAAAGTAGTATCATGGGCTAGTTTTCTCCAGTGTCTGCAAACTTTCTCACAAATAAGTAAAGTTTCTAATGGTAGAAACTTGAAAACATATAGAATTATTTCATCTGGCAAAACACCAATCCCTTCAGACGCTTCTTTGTCCCAAGCCGTCATTCTGTTAACTTAATGTAAGTATAAACTTTATTTTCGAGGACTATTTATTTAAGTAATTAAAATAAAAAGAAAACATGTGTGTCGTGGAACACTCGGTTGGAACGAAATTCCTTTCGTAGTATATTATTATTAATAAACGTATTATATTATTGCTTAACAAATATAAATAAATGAAACTACAAACTAGCGTCTAAAATAATGAAGCGTGATAAGAAAATGTGCGAGGGAGACGGATATTATTCCATCTCGATTCCTTATAGCCGCCAAGGCCGTGTACACTTCCTGCATACACTATATTATGCTCTTTGGTCAAAGAGTATAGTAACTGTCCTATACAGGAATGTTTGGGCTACACTAGGTCAGAAGGGGTCGTTAGTCGTGACGGAAAAATCTTACACTTTTTGTCGCCTAACCCCATAGATATAAGAACTTATATCTATGCCTAACCCCCATCCGAAAAATACGAACCATCCGATAAGGAACTTCGTTCCAATAATAATTTTATGACATTACGTACACAGACTAATATGATGCTTACGCATGTTACGTACCTGACTTAGCTTTTGTTTATTAAAAAAAATTCGGAGACAGAAGAATGGTTTTACTTACTACAAATGTTTGCAGTTAATAGCGAGCGAATACAAATACATCATCAATTGCGTTGTTTGTTTCTACAGAAATTAAAATTATCGCAGGTTATATTTATATCAAATGGTTTCAAATTTAAAAATAATTTTGCACTGTAACCTAGGTACAATTTTTTTATTAACTGGCTTCACGGCTCTGGGTTCTAGCCTTTCTGAGCCCGAAGTTACAATGTATAATTATCCTTCATAGTATTACTGTACTATGAAGGATAGTATTACTGCTTCACAATATGTTGATGCTCACATTGTGCAGTCCTTGGGAGATTTTGAAGGCAACTTGAGCCAGCAGACAGCCACAGCTGGTAATCCTTGAGCAAAAATCTTTGACCGTATGAAATGCAGTAAGCAATTCATTACATGACGTTTCCCTCGTCCCTCCCACCTATTGGCATTCCCTCTGCCGCCACTTTTTCATGCATTTCGGTATATATTACTCTATGTTATCATGTTACCAATTAGCATGTCGGTTTTGGCGGAAACTTTACCGGCGGCGGTTTGCTGCTCCTGTATTATCGTATAAATAATGGTTTGAAGTGGATTTTGATATGTAAAAGTGGTGCGATTTTATGTATTAATTATATGATTTTATGTACTAATATTATGATTATATGTGTCTGTGCTTGTGAACTATTAGTGGAGACGGTGAAACAAGTGCTCTGATGATAATGTGATTCTCAAGATAAGCTGTCTGTTTACTTCAGTGCTTTGAGATATCATCGCCAACGCCAACTATCTGCTGTCTGTTGGCTCATGTTGCCGTCTAAATCTCCTAAGGGCTGCACAATGTAACGCTTCAACATATTGTGATGCAGTGTACTATGAAGGATAATTATACATTGTAACTTCAGGCTCAGAAGGACTAGAACCCAGAGCCGTAAAGCCACTTATTAAAAGAAATTTCATGTTACTGTGAACTAAACTTACTCGACTTAGCTTCTGCATCCTGATTGGTTTTAGCAAAATGATATATGACATTTCTTTTTTTTTTAATTTGTAGCTACTATACCAGGCAGAGGACGTCCCAAATAAGTTCATTTATTAATTACTTGCAAATTTTATATTAAAATATTGAAAATAAAACGAGGTAAATGCAAATGAAACAATGTTGAAATTTATTTATTACCTTTATTGTTCAGATTTTTCTTATATTTTAACAGAGCTTTACCTTGCATTTCTGGTATCTGCCTTCTTTCTAAGTGAACAATATCTACATCTTTAAAATTTTATTGATAAGTGCACTAGTTATAAAGATAGATATTTATTTTGCAAAACATAAGCAGAAAAATATTTATTTATTCCTAGTTTTATTATTATTGATAAGCGTCTATTACTTCAGTCCTATGTTTTCGGCATGTAAAATGCTCAAAGTGATATTTATTTAATATTGCATTCTTTATTTTACGACCAATATTTTAAAATGGGGGTGTTTTTCGAGATATTTATTAGTGTTTTTAAAACATTACCAAATATATAAGATTAATCAGTTTCAACACTTTCGTTACTCACTTCTTTTTCATGTCTTTTAAACAGGCTTTTTATTTTTAATAATTGTGCGCTAACATCATCTTCACAATTAAAAGGTGAGCGGTAAATCTTAATGAATCTTGTAATTAATACAGATTTAAAAGCATTATTATGAAATTGTGGCAAGTCAGGGCATAGTCCCTAAAATTGTATGATCTTATTTGAATGAAAATGTTTTCGAGTCTCATAATTTTTATGTTTTTCTTGGATCAAAACTGCCACAATTTTTAAATCTTTTTATGGGACTTATTCAGTTCTTTATACTGGGCAATGTACATTCATGACAATTTTCATTAATAAATTTTATATTTTGTTGTTTCAACAAAGCTTGCTACCAGAATGCCAAAATTCTTAAATCTTCTATTTTTATTTATCACCGCACTTCTATTCACACTTTCAAATAGGTCCTCTATAAAAGATACTATTTCAGAAGTATTTATGTGTTTTGCTCACTGGCCGCACATCCGAATAATGAGCTGTAATAAATATTTGAAATATTATTAAATGAAATATCATGACATACTCTGTACAGTACTTTTAAGTTACTGCTGTGCTGTGCTGTGGCCCACAGACACATACATTAATCCTCAGTTGTAAAAGTATTAAAATGCAAATGCATTGCCACCCTTGAAGACAAAATAATGCCTTGTTACCAGTAAAAAGGGTCTCTGGTTCTCACCGCTAGCCATGTAAAACACTTCAGTTTTATGGTGCTATGTATTAATATATTTAATAAAATAATAAATATGATAACTTACAAAATGCAAAGGTATAATTTAAGGGTCCTGCCACAGTTTTATTTTATTAGATATATTAATACATAGCACTATAAAACTGAATTACATTTTACATACATACATTTTACTGGTAACAAGGCATTATTTTGTCTTCAAGGGTTTTTTTTATTCATATATAAAGGGCTTTGTCGCTGATGCGATTATGCCGCCCTGGTAGTTACATAAAAATCTTAAATATAATTACTAACAAATAAATTTATTATACTTACGAGTTACTTAATCTCTTATTAACTAACAAATACAGTTTTTTGGCATCATCTGATAACGGGTCGGATAAAATACTGTTACTACTACCAATTAAGGACAAATGTAAATTACAATTTGCTCTTTCTCTTGAGTTCTGGGCACATTCTATCAAAATGTGATAAACATCATCGATAATATTACAAATTGAACAATTTGGTGAGGTAATTTTTCGCATCAAGCATAAAAATTAATTGCATGGAATGTGTCCAGATCTGAGTCTTAATGCTGTTACAGTGTTGCGTCTACACAATACTCTGTTATCTATCCAGGTTGATTGCATTGGGTGTGGCTGGATCGTACGGTACCATATACCCTTTTCTTTTGATCTTTCGTCAAAATATTCTTTCCAGAGATCACAACAATATTTTTTCAATAAAGGTATGTAATTTTGAAATGAAGGGGTAATATCTATGTCAATGCCATCAGAGATAGCTTGCTTGGCTAAGATATCAGCTTTCTCATTACCCTCTAAGCCAATTTGCGAAGGTATCCACTGTAAATATACTATTCTGGAATCAGCCTGTAACTTAACTAGAAGCTGTAAAATCGCATATGCTACTGGTAAGCCTCGGAAAACCGAAGTACACCGAGCAAGGTGTTGAAGCGCACTCCTTGAATCGGTTAAAATAACGACATTGTTATAATTATTTGACTGTGTGTAGGATAAAGCTTTATAGATTGCCACAAGCTCAGCTTCCATTATTGAAATACTCCCATTGATTTTTAACTTTATTGCCATACCGTGCAATATATCGTAAAATGAAGCCCCGATTCCAAAATTATCTTTCGAACCATCTGTAAATATCTTCAAGTAAGTCGGGTACTGTTCGTTTAGGTAATTAATACACATGTTTTTCAAGGTCAATTCATGGTATTGATGTTTAGGGTTTAGGACTCCATCTATATTTGGTCTTATAAAATCTGAAAGGTTTAAACTAGTGATCCACTGATTCAGCGAAAACATACCTAAGTCTGAATTTGAATATATAACAAGTGATTTGAACTTATTATGGATTATTGTTAACAGTGGTTTTTTCTTATTATTCCAATACCTGTTTTGAATGATATCGGATAGGCTAGAGATAAGATTAATGGAAGAGTTATTTAATACGGATTTATTTTTTAACCAGAATTTGCCTCCAAGATAATATCTTCTTAAATGTAATGGGCATAAACTGAGATCGCTTTCCATGACGTGAATAGGGGTGCTTTTTATGTAACCTCCTATAGTTCTCATTGACTGGTTTTGAATTTTATCTAACTTAAATAAATTGGTTTTACTACTGTTATCATATAAAAAGCTCGCATAATCTAACCGACTTCTTATAATACTAATATAGAGTTTCCGTAAATGTTTAGGGTCGACACCCCAACCCGAACCTGATAAAACTTTAAATACATTTAAAAACTTTAATACTTTTTCATGTATTTCGTTTATATGTTTACTCCACCGTAGCGTTCGATCCAACCACATTCCAAGGTATTTTACGTTATCTACCACTTCCAAAGCAACATCTTTAATTTTTAGACTAATGTTGTGTCGTCGACGCCCTCTTGAAAATGCGCATATTTTACTTTTTAATGGTGAAATTTCTAAATTTATTTTAAGAAGTAAATCATTTAAAATGTCTAATCCTAATTGGAGTTGATTTTGCGCCTCTTTCCAGTTATTAGAAGTTATAAATATCACGTAATCATCAGCATACTGAGAGATATTAAGATGTGATTTGGAAGTTATAGACTTACATATATCTATTGTTGCTATGTTAAACAATAGCGGAGAAAG